GTGCAAGAATCATATTAAGAAATGGTTGCTGTCCTGTTTTTAAAAAAAAATTAAAAAAATAATTGCTTTGTTGCACTTGAGGTCGTTAATGAGTCAAACCACTCCTGCCTACATTCCTTCCCTGGTGACTTCAGTTCATTATATTCATACACTAAGCAAGTGTTAGCATGTCTCTCAGCTCAACTCGAAAGCAATGGTATTTGGCAGCACGAATGTGGTAATTCATATCAGTTTTGAATTATATTAAAATGCTTGCCTGCCTGTAAAACTTAACATATAGAATACAGAACTGCACGTACGCCAGGTTTATTTTGGTGTCAGCCTGACTCAGTTGGTAGCTCTCTCGCCTCTGAGTTAGAAGATTGTTGTTTCAAGCCCTACGTCGGGACTTTGAGCTCATATCTACGCTGCCTAGATACAGTGTTTTGAGAACGTGCATTGTTGGAGGTGCCGTCCTTTGGGTACAACATTAAACTGTGATCCCATCTCCCTTTAAAGATCCCATAGGATTATTTGAAAAGAGTTTCTCTCTTCTGGTGTCCTGACCAACAAATGCCCCCCAACTTTCCCGGATAAAAATTGGTGGTTGACGGCTGTTTGTGAGACATTGTACTCTCAGATTGCATTTGATGAGCAATGTCTCATTGGAATACCTCAACAATCCTGATTAGGCACAACATCAAATGCAATATTATTTTCCAAAGTATTATTTTAAAGAAATTCAGACCAGCCTTTTTTTATTATCCCGTGCCATTATCTACAGAAAGCCAAAGGTTATGAATTTCCCTTTTTGAATTTTAATTTAATTATAATTTTGGGGTGTTTTTCATCCATCAAAGTTCAAGATGTCAAGTGGAAAACGGATCTTTTTGTCACTTCAGGCACCACATGCTTTTCGAACAAAATCCAAAAGTCCCTTTATTTGTCTCAGAATATTCTTTATTCTTCAAGTGCTCTGAGATGTTACCCTGTGTGCAAGCTGTTGTTAACTGAGAAGAAAACCATCTGCTGCTCCAGTGTGAATGTTCGACTTTGGAATCCTAATGGTTCTTTAATGGCAAAATGTGGACAGCTCCATGAGGAGCTTCTTTGAGACTGACCAAATTAATTTCAAGTAAAACTTCAAGTCAAACTAATATCCAGAGGGTGTACTTTTTATTCCCACCAGAAATAAAGCAAAATAATACGCTCAGTACTTTCCCAGAAGCAATATCTTCTGCTAAATAAATATCGAATTCCCTCTTGAATTTGTTTGAAGAATCTGCCTCCACAGGTAATCTATTCCACGAACACTACAGCTCCATTATAACAGTCAGGGTTCCATGAAATCCCGACCAGCACTATAATGGAGAGCAATCATCTGTCAACATTCCTGGACTTCAAAATGGTGACTTGTGTGCGAAAAGGCAAAATGGACAACTTCCAAGTCAGGATGTGATGTTGCTTTGCGACCTGATGACCCTGAAGTCCTTTGGCTTCCTACGTGTCGGCCAGCTTACCTGAAGCGCTGATGTAGTGGGCACATACATTTCGGATTTATTGGGCAAGTAAATGTCAGAGTTCACATCCTAATCAGGCCACAAGCAATAGCAGGGTTCCACTGTATACATCCTTCTTAGAATCCTAGAATGTCACCGGCACATATTCAGGTGATGAGATTGTCATGGTATTTTGCCCCCCCATGATCGCCCCTCTCCTGCTTGACCTTGTTACAGTTTAATAGGTGGCAACTTGCCTCTTTGTCAGAAGATAGTGGTTTCAAGCTCCATATTCCCGGCAGGGCGAAACTTTGGGCAAGTTTCCTTACTCCACACGCCTCTATTTACCTAGCATTAAATAGGAACCCGGTTGTTAGTCGATTGGCGGATTGCTTTTCCAGGGATAATAATTCCTTCAAAATATATACATACAATAATTTGGTCACTCAATCCACGACTGTTTGTGGGACACTGCTTTGTGCAATTGGCTGCCGTGTTTCACCCGTGAAATATACAGTCAATCCACTTTACAGTATATTCTGGGAAATGCTTTGAGATGTCTCGAAGATGTGATAAGGTGCTATATCAAATGCAAGGACTATTATTATTATTATATTGGGACTTTGAACTCAGTGTCTAGGCTGACTCCAGCACTGCACTGGAAGTTTGCCTCTCTGTAGGAGATGCTGTCCTTCAGATGCGATATTAATAATAATAATCCTTGCATTAATTCGAGGTCCTGTCTGTTTATTCAAGTGGATAACGAGCACTATTCAGAAAGGAACTTTTACTTTGCACAGAATGATTCCTGTGTTTGCCCACGATAAATAGTACTCCACGTGACAGTAATTACTGTAAAGAACATTGAGACGTTTCAGTGTTATAGTTACTATAAAAGTGCTAGTTTTACATTTCATTTTCCCTTTATGATGGTTAAAACCAACAGAGGAGGCCTCGGTCTGGCCTGGATTCAGACTCCGATCTTAGAAATGAAAGGAACACTGTGTTGACTCCACTGAACCAGTGCCCTGTTTAGAGCAAAATACTATTAATGAAATTACAAAGTTATATCCCACTGAAATATTTAAAACATAGAAGCAGGAGGAGGCCATTCAGCCTGTCAAACCTGCTGTGCTGTTTAACAGATCCTGAAAGTCTATTACTGACATACTGACATTTCAACAACAACAACAACTTGGATTTATATAGAGCCCTCCACGCCGGACGGTGTCTCAGAGCGCTTTACAGTAACAGATCCCGGGACCAAGCCGGGGGTAGGGGGAGGAAGGTTACCAAAGACGAGGTCGAAGAGAAAGGTCTTCAGCAGAGACCTGAAAATGGAAAGGGAGGGAGCGAGGCGAAGGGAGTGAGGAAGGCAGTTCCAAAGCCTCGGGGCATAGTGGCCACCGAGGGTGGAGCGGAGGACTCGGGGGACAAGGAGGAGGCCAGACCCGGAGGAACGAAGGCAATGGGTTCTGTGCTGAGGAGAGAGGAGGTCAGAGAGGTAGGGGGGTGCAGAGGAATGCAGGGACTTGAATACGAGGGTGAGGATCTTGAAATCAATCCTTTCTGGGATAGGCAGCCAGTGCAGTTCGGCAAGGACTGGGGTGATCGGGGAGCGGAGTTTCGTGCGGGTGGCAGAGTTCTGAATGAGTTGGATTTTATGGATGGTAGTGGATGGGAGACCGGGGGCAAGGAGGGCGTTTGAATAGTCCAGCCTGGAGGCGACAAAAGCATGGACCAGAGTTTCAGCGGCTTTTGGGGCTTTTTTCCTGTTTGGGCTTTTTCCCTGTTTTTCTCCAGACTTTTTAATACCATTCTTTTCTAACTACTGTATCAATCTCTCTTTTAAACATCCAAATTGAATCTGCCTCTACAGAATTCTGGGATAGTGCCGTCCAGATTCTTGCAACCGTCGGTGTGAAGATTTTGCGATATATGAGGAGATGTTTGCTGCAATTTTATGAGATGCATTGCTATGTACATTACAGTGGAGCTCTGTTATGATGTGCTTTGGATACTTCAACGTTTTAGCCATGTTATAGTGAGGCATGAGAGCAGCTTTGACTTGTTTGCTTACACTTTCCCTCTGCATGTTGGCTGGTTCTCATTTGTAAAGAAAAAATGACAGACGTCCGGGTCACTTGGTTGCAGTAGACATCATTTCCAGTTAAGTCTATCAGTTGATCAGCCAGCTGGCCGGCATGTGGGAAGTAAACAGGCTGTGCACATACACAGTGAATAGAGTCCTCAGTGCATTTGTGCTATAGTTAAGCACATTATAAAGAGGTTGCACTGTATCCTGAATACCAGATGGAATGACAGGAACAAGCTGGCAAGTTGTAGAAACTGATCCACATCCTTCAATGTCAAAATTTTGGGCCAAAAATCCAAACAAGTTCAAACTGATGAAATATATTCCAGCACATCTGGTAGAAACACAAGCTGCCTTGAGGAATGAGAGCTGCAAGTCCATACAGGTTCTGACCACACCCTGCATCTAACGAATTAACCTTCACCTAACAAATTCCAAAAGACACTCATCAACTTGTGGTTACTTTTGAAACTGGTTTTTAGTCACACGTGATGTACTGTTGAGGGGATGGTGTGTGGGAGGTAGAATTTGTGTTGTAATGGCCTTTTTTAAAATTGGAAATGTGTTTTGAATTGTGCTGTTTTTCACTGTTCATTTTTATTTGGTCGGTAGAGTGCCTGACCCACATAAAAACTCATCACCGTGAGCCAAAGCGTTCCCTATGGTGTATGATATCTATTTGGTTAGTGCGTCCGTACTTACCTAATTCCAAAGAGTATTGGGCTTGTGTTGGCAAAGGCAAGGCTTGGGGTCCCCAGAGTGTGTCTTGGGGTGCTGCTAGGTTTTAACCAGCTAAAACTGCGCAGTTGGCCAAACACTGCTAAGCTTCCGACTAGTTGTCCAGTTAGGATCAGAGTGCCCATTAGAGTTTTAACTTGCAAGGTTAGTAATGTTTCAGTGCTCCGAGATGCTACGCTGCTTGAAGGGTGGTCTATAAATGTAAATTGTTGTAATAAATATTGAGTGGGATTAATCTCAGCCCCCAGTGACTGATCCTGCTAATAAGCCAGGCTAGCTGGACTGTTAATAGCAATGTCTTGGAATACTGCACCCCTGTCTGACTCAAGAACAACAACAACAAGATTACATTTGTATAGCGCCTTTCACGTCCAGAGGACGTCCCAAGAATCACAGTTCCAACATTCATCTCTGGGCTCCTTTACAATATTTTGCTATGCTATAGCCATTGTGCTGTTATAGTTTAGTTCTAATACACTCGCTTCATATAATTTTAATATAGTGTTTGATTTTAAAAAGAGATAAGTTTCCCTATAGAAATTACAAACCATATGTAATGGTTTCACCCACAAATATACAGTCAATTCACTTTATGGTGTATTCTGTGAAGCGCTTTAAGACGTCTAGAAGATGTGAAAAGCGCTATATCAAATGCTAGGATTATTATTATTATCTTTTTGTTCTCCTAGTAATACACCACTTCTCCACGAAAGAACGTCGCATTCAAGCAATAAAGGAAATGGCAAGGACTTTGCGAGTAGGCGGGAAAGTAATGATCTACGTGTGGGCGATGGAGCAAAAGAGACGCAAGTTTGAGAAGCAAGATGTTTTTATCCCTTGGAATCCTATACTTCCACCTTCCAAATCATCAGAGACAAAGACTGGTAGTTCAGTCCATCCCGGTGATGGTGAAAAGCATTTTCAGCCTTTCAGTTCAAATAACCTGCTGAGCCTTGAGCACAGTAACTGTGACAAGCACCAAAAAACAAACTGCACAACTTCTGTGGGGATGGCGGATGTGCTACTTGTTGAAAAATTCTTAAAGTTCTGTTTATTTTCTCAATCAACAAGTTCCGTAATGCAGTTTGGCAGCAACAGCAACTCAAAGACTCCCAAAGGGCCTTGGACTTTTCAGGATTACACCGGATTACAGTTATTTGATGTAAATAGTGGTGTAGTGGCTTTTGAACAAAATAAAACTGTCAGTGTTGCAAAGTTCCCTTATGGCCTGTTCTCATACAGACAAAATTTTGAAGATGTTTTTACATTTCTTTCGGAGTCGAGATCGCCGAGCCAACACAACAACACAGAGACCCGAACCCGATTCTTTGACTTTCCAAGTGCAGGACCACTTCAAATTCCTGAGTCTTCCACAACCATATTTCAGGGCTGCTCTACAGTCTCCTTGCCTGACCTTGCTTCGCAGACTATGCTCCAATCTGAGCTCCACCGTTCCCCCTTAGAAAACGGATCAACTGCTTCTAGCCAAGAGAATAAGGTCCCCAGTACACATCAACAATTACAGAGATCTTCAGCAGTGGACTCAAGTGACTGGTCTTTGCAGAGTAAGAAATTAGCAAAAGAGAAAAATGAACAAATTAGTTACGATGATGCCTGCCTCAGATATTATCATGTTTTCAAGCAAGGGGAACTTGTGGAGCTCATAGAAAAGCACATTGAAGACTTGCATGTCATTCAGACTTACTACGATCATGCTAATTGGTGCGTAGTTGCAGAAAAACTTACGATCTGGAGAAGTTAAAGCTTACGTTACAATCGCAACCTGTGGATATTATTTCAAAACAGTTACTGTACATGCTATTATGCCTTTTAAAAATGCCAATAGTGTTAATGCTTGAATGTATGCACTGCCAAAATGGTTATGAATATGTTGTGTTATAGTTCAAGTTTAATTTACTGTAGTTTTGTTTTCATGTGAATTGACAGCAGTTTTATACTATTTAAGATGGCACATTCATAGCCATACTAACTTATTTTTCAGCTAAAATAAAGTCTGCACAATTAACCATTATGTATTGAGTTTCATTTATTTCTCAGAGATTTACAGTATTTGATGAGTGCAGACTATCTAAAATAATCCCTTCTCACCTGAAGGAATCGCTTCCATTATTCCAGGAAGAGGATGTTTTTCATATCCCTTTAAGCAATTTTATAATCTGCAATTAAAAGCACATTATATTGTCGAGATCTCTCTGGACATCAAGCACTCAAGTTTTACTGATATTAAACATTGGCATATCATTTCATTTCTTGAGCAGGCAGCTACACTGATTAGTCTGGCCTGTAACAGAATGTTGACCTACATAGAGATATATCTCCCAGATGTGTTTGCCTTCCTCACTGAAAGACTATAATAAGAAAGAAAAGGGATATGAACTGCTTATAACACAGTAGAAACTATAGCATAAGAGGCCATTCGACCCATCAAGTCTAAGATGGTACTAAATAAGGAAATGTGGTTAGAATGTTGCAATTTAACCCTATTATCATTTTCTGATAAAGCATACTTTTAGAAATAAGAATACTTTTAATAGCTAGTGTGTTTAGTGCCTTTATTAACAAAGTATGATGCCTAGCCGGGGGGAGGTGACCGTAGGCACGGTCGAAGAGGAAATGTCTTCAGGCGCAACCTTAAGATGGGGAAGGATGGGACAAGGCGGAGAGAGTGTTCCAGAGTTTCAGAGGGTAGTGGCTGAAAGGATGGAACGGAGAGACATGTGAGAGACATGCAGGAGGCTGGAGCCAGTCGGCACAAGGCAGCGGGTTGTGGGTTGGGGAGTAAGCAGGTCGCAGAGTTAAGGAGGTGCCAGGGCATGAAGCGATTTGAAAACAACTTCAAAGCTATAGTTGAATATTTTAAAAATTATCTTGTATCACATTGGAGCTCTTGGCAAGTTGGATATAACTATCGTATTTAGCTACTACCTACAAAACTCATGATTTTCCTTCATGTAAAATGCATAAAGAAATAGTAATTACACTAGTAACCATGCACTTCCTTCTAGAAGTGATTTTAATATCTTTATTTTGCCCTTCCAAATCGCCACCTTAACTGCCAGCTGGAGCCCCTCGAGTCTGGGTTCCTGATCACAGCGCCAAGGTAGCCCTGGTCAACATTACAAATGTTGCACTTCCAGTCTGTGAGCAGAGCTCCTTATACCTTCTCATTACCTCACCCTTTCTGATGCCTTCGATTCTATTGACTGATCAGCACTGACTGATTGACTGTGATTGACTTTGAAACGTCTTCCCAAATGAAAGACGCTACATGTTGCTGTAAATTGTTGCTGACCGCTCCAACCTCCTCGCCTCTTTCATCCACTTCCACAAGGATGCAATTTTTTTGGTTCCAATTGTGCTTTCACTCCATTTTGTTTCCTCCAAACACTTCAGCTCCCCCCCCCCCCCCCCCCCCCCCCCCCACCAAATATATGGTTGCCTGAGGTTCTATTCTCGGTCCCTTCCTCTTTCCTCATTTCCATGCTTACACTTTGTGACTGCATTCACAGACATGGGGTAAAATTTCACATATACATTGATGAAATCCAAATCTGCTTCTCTGCTTCCTTTCTCAATTCCAGGTCCACTGATGTTCTGATGTCGTGACTGTCAGACACTAACTCCTGGATGAGCCTCAACCTCCTTCCATTTAACGTTGCCAAAATGAAAGCCACCCGATTAGCTCCTGCCAAGATCTTCAAATACTACAACATTGCTGGTTGCTCTCCCCATCTCACTGAGTCAAAGTGTAACCTTGGTTTGCCGTGTGACCCTAAGCTCTCTTTCCTTACATCCAATCCCTGACCAAGGCCACTTTACTTCTGCTCCACCAAATTTCCCACTTCTGTCACTATCTCACACAATGCAGTCAAAACACTTATCCTTGCCTTTAGTTTCCTCCAGACTTGACTTCTCCAATGCCTTCCTGAAAACATACCTCTTCTACTGTGATTACAGTTGCCTCCTTCCACCTCCCCCAACTGTTCAGTGCCCACCACCTCTCTGTAATGAGCTTTGATATGTTACCATAAGCTGCTGGTGTATTGGCTCATAGAAGAGTTGAAAGCTTTTGAACTAAAGTTTTCTAATAATGTGTGTGTAAAATAATAGATACATATGGAAGAATCCATCTCCTCCAGGAACCTTTGTTTCTGACGTTCACGAACATGTTCAGGGTGAATAATGTGAGGTATGATATGTTATTACTAGTGATAATTATCACGTCATTTACATTAGCAGCAAAAGTAATTAGTTGATTGAATGAGGTGGAGAATGCAACTGGGAATGTTGTGAGAGTCAGAGGCTAGGTGTTGGCAGGAGACGAATAGGGTGACTTTCATTTTGGTAATATTATAATGCAAATCGTGTACAGTAATGTCTTGGAATATGTCACAGGGATACAACACCAGTTATGGTCAGTTTTTGCTGTTGATTTAAACTGGTATGCCACAAATCAGCATCAAAATTCTGCATTGTGCAGCCTAATTTCAATGGGGGCTTCAGGCTTTGTGGTGAAATCAGTGGGGGTGTGAGGGATTGACATGTAATAGATTGTCTTCGACCGTAATTTATGACGATGCCGCAATTTTCACCTCAATTGCTCAGCAAACGTTCCTCATTGTTTTGTGCGCAAAAAAAATCTGATCTCAGACTGTGTATTGCACTGCCATCTAGTGCTGATAGCAGCTGCAGAAAGTCATGGAAGCTTGGCTGGATTCGCTAAAGCAGCCAAATGCAATTTCTTTTCAAATTATTTTAAGATATTTTATATACTTTTTGAATTGATTTTGTTTGAACAATCAAGACGGTGTTTTCACAGGTTGCTGATAAAATCATAAATATTAACCTTGTATTGAGAGCAAAGCAAATGGTGCCTAATGCTTCAAAGCAAATAGTTCTCATCTGTCTTCAAGGACATCGAGGTCCCAATGCAGGTTAAGCTTGTGGCATATAATATCTGTGCAAACAATTCTCTTTTATGGTCTGAGCTCCTGGGAATGCAATAGTGAGACTTTCTCTGGCCCATTTGTAAAGTTTAGGATCAAACATTGGGGTGAATTTGTGGTAAATAGAGGAAGTGGCTGCTGGGAGGAAAGGCTCTGGGCTTCAATATCCTGTTGCTGAACACCCTAGAGCTGAAGTCGGCTTCAGCAGCTGTTGCTGAATAAGCCTAGTACATGGCATTGGACCTTGAGAACACCATGTTATAAATAATAATAATATAATAATTCTTGCATTTGATTTTGAGCCTTATTACGACTTTGAAACGTCTCAAAGCGCTTCACAGAATAGACTCTAAAGTGAATTGACTGTATATTTTGTGGGCGAAATGCGGCAGCCAATTGCACACAACAGTGTCCCACAAACAGTCGTGGATTGAAGTGACCAAATTATTATTTTTTTGAAGGGATTATCACTCCCAAAAATGCGATCTGCTAATCAACTAACAACTGGATTTCTATTTACTGCGAGGTAAACCGAGACGTGTGGAGTAAGGAAACTTGTCCAACGTTTCCCCCGCCCGGGAATTGAACCCAGGTCCTCTCGCTTGCGAGGTGAGTGCTCTAACCACTAACCTACAGCTGTCCTCCCACCTCGCTGAAGGCAGATGGCTGTCAGATAGCTGATGAGGAAACTCTGAGGCTTGGGGCGACAGCTGCAAGAAGGTATTACCTGAAGTCTGAGTCTGTGAACCCACGTTCATATATCCAGGGAATGGAATGCATCGGTTTACAGAGAGGCGTGCAGCTACTGCTCAAGCGCCACACCTCCAACTGGTAGAACAATTGCTCAATGAGAAGCGATATGTGTCCAAGCCTAGGGCAGGAATATGGTGACAGTGCTCTCATGCATTTCATGCTGAGCTGTATTGCCCTCCAGGAGGTTGGCAGCGAGTTCCTGGTGCACAAGAATTTCCATGTGCATGGAACTCTCAGTTTGGTTTGGATACTCTTAAGTATGATGATAGATTTCAGGATGTGTCAGACACCTGGCTGACCAAAAAAATTGTGGGAGCAAAAGTCCCAATTTGTCAGGAGTATGTGATCAGCATTCATCACTCCATTATCAGAAATGCATTTATTTCTCAGTTGACATTAGTTGTTTAAGAGTGTTAGTTCTGAGTCTTAAGTCTTTTTGGCCCACAAAATACAGTCACTCCACCTTACAATATGTTCCAAGAAGCGCTTTGAGACGTCTCAACTTGATAAGATGCTATGTCAAATGCAAGGATTATTATTATTATTTTCTTAGGGTGCAGCTATTTTTCTTAAAACAGCATTTTATTCTTTGTCTATTTATTAAGATAGTCATAAATATTAACCATACACAACATCAGTTAAGACCCACAACCTTCTTAATGGAGAGACAAGAATGCTACCAACTGATTCACATTGACCCATTCTTCCAAACCAATACTGACGCTCCCTCCTTCCTGTTGGTAATACTGAAGTCAGCATGACAGTTCTGTTATCTATCCTTGCTGAAACTTATGTTATTTATTATTTACATTACATCTTACAAGCAGTATATCAGGGGAAGGTTAGAAGTTTTCTTCACACAAAGGGTTAAGTATTGCCACAAATTACTATTTTGAAGGAAATTCAATTATAATATTGGAAAGGAAATTCTTTGGCAGGTAATGGCCTGAAAATAATTACAATTCTGAAAAACTGAAGTTTAAAAAGGGACTTTGATGTTCCATAGTGCAGTGGTTGGCATGGAAAGGGAGGGCTGAAACCATGTAAGAATTTGATAAGTCAGTACAAGAAAATTAAAGTTGACTTGGGGGTTGGGGTCAGGGAGTGTGGAAGGCGGTGGGAAAAGGTGGGTGAACGAAGCACGGTCAAAGAGGAGGGTCTTGAGACGGGTCTTGAAGGAGGCAAAGGAGGGGATGAGGCGGAGGGACTGAGGGATGGAATTCCAGTAGGTGGGGGAGTCATAGAAGGCCCACCCACTAATGGTGGGGCGGGCGAGGAAGGGGATGTGAAGTAGGCTGAAGCCCGCTGAGTGGAGGCAGAGGACAGGATGGTAGGGGGTAAGAAGGTCGAAAAGGTAGGGGGAGCAAGGCCATGGATGGTTTTGAAGGTGAGGACCTGGATCTTGAACTGTATCCTCTGTGTGATGGGAAGACAATGGAGTCGGGTGAGGATAATAATCATTATAATAATAATAATCCTTGCATTTGATTTTGCGCCTTATCACATTTTTGAGACGTCTCAAAGCCCTTCACAGAATATACTGTAAAGTAAATTGACTGTATATTTGTGGGCGAAACTTGGCAGCCAATTGTGCACAGCAGTATCCCACAAACAGTCATGGATTGAAGTGACCAATTTATTCTTCTTTTTTTTTTCTAGAGGCATTATTATCAGGCGTGTGGAGTAAAGAAACTTGCCCAAGGTTTCGGCCTGCTTGGAATCAAACCCAGGTCTCTCGTTTGCGAGGCGAGTGCTCTAACCACTGAGCTACAGGACTCCACTGTGCTAGGCATGTGGCTTTGGAAACAGTTCAGCCTCAAAGAGACTGTACTTACCTCCCCACTCCCCACCCCGAGGATAGTAACATGAGGTCATTATCATTAGGCAACTGACAAGCCCAGGTTTGAACCCTTGGTGGATGGATAGCAGATACCAGGAATTCCTTACAAGCTGCTTGATGAGCAGTACAACTCGACACAAGGTAAACTGAATACTAATATGTTCAACATACATACAAACACTACATACTGAAGCTTAGGAGAAACTAGGGCAACACGATTTGGATTTGAATACTTTCCAGAATGGATAACACATGGACCACCCAGAGAGGTGGTGGAGATTGATTCAGGGAATTGAATAATTATTTGGTGAAGAAATGAATTAATGGGTGTAGCAAAGTAGACCACAATAGTCTTTTCTGGTACTCTACATTTGACTGTGTATAGTTCTTGAACACAGTGCAAGACTTTATCATTAGAAAAGATTTACTAAACCTAAACATGATTATTTCTGGTTTTATCTCAATTGTTTAATTATTAGATTGAAATGGGTACAAAATTCATAATATAAAAAAAATCAGTGCCAAATGGTAGCTTCCTCCACTCAGTGGGCTCTGGCCTGCTCTATGTCACCACCCAGCCCTCACCACCATCAGCGGTCAGGCCTTTAGCCTCTCTACCCCACGCTTTGGAACTCCATCCCAGTCCCTTTGCCTGGCTACCCTACTAGCCTCCTTCAAGGCCCCATCTCATGACCCTCCTCTCCATCCGTGCCTCTGATCACCCTCCTACCCCTGCCCTCCCTGTCTTCCACCCCTCCTGATCCCAACCCCCAGCTCAGGTTCAAATCCCTGACTGTCCAGCACCTTAGGACGTCCTCCTAATGTGCACTATGTATACATAATTAATTGTTTTTGACCCCAAAACACCTTAAATTCAGTATTTTGGGGAATCAGGGAGACAAAGTGCAGGGAGATGCATACATGAGTTGTTTTGACAATACTCTTACCTTTAGGCTTATTATTCAAACTAACAAACTCTAGCCTGTAATAGAATATCTTATCTAATGCGTCATATAACTTAACATAACATGTAGGAGCAGTAGGCCATTCGGCCCTTCGAGCCTGCTACGCCATTCAATCATGGCTGATCTTCTAATCTAACTCCAGCTAATAACCTGACCCTGCCTTATCCCCATATCCCTTAATCCCTTTTGGAATAAGAAATACTGTACTTCATTTTTTAGTCACTGATGGGGTAGATTTAATTCCCATTTCACAGTACACTACAACTGTGATCAAGTTCACCGGCATGTATTAGAAATATGGGCTGAAGTATTTATGATGCACTGCTTGAAATTTATCAGTAACTGGCATCATTGCAACATTTTTGAAGGCACTAGCAGTTATAGATTAAAATCAGAAGACCTAAGGCCATTTTACCCAGTCAATGTTCTCAGTCCAACCTTATAATACTAATCCTTGCATTTGATATAGCACTTTATCACATCTTCGAGACATCTCAAAGCGCTTCACAGAATATGCTGTAAAGTGAATTGACTGTATTTTTTGTGGGCGAAACACGGCAGCCAATTGCGCACAGTAGTGTCCCACAAACAGTCGTGGATTGAGTGACCAAATTATTATTTATTCTTATTGCTATCATCGTCTCCAAAATTCAGTCCAGATCTATCTTTATAGATTGCCTTCTCATAACATAACAAGGTTTTGGACTGTGAAACACGTACACATATGTGTTCATGGATGAAAAACATTTGCCGTCAGCCTCAAACAGATTCTAAAGCTTATTGTGATACTCATTTTTAGTTTGAATATTGATTTGCTTTGTGTATTATAGCTGGCATTATTGAAAACCTATGTGTTCTGTTGGCTATTGCGGTTTGCAGCTTCAATGAGTTTATGTAGATTCCCATGAGCTGAGCTTCAACTGTTCTCATTATTGCATGTTCATCAATCTCATTGCTCTATTGAGTTGAAGGCACTCTTACCCCCGGTAAAAGCTTGCAAAATATTATTACCCTATTATTCATTTAGGGCTCATAGTTCTTTCAAGCTTCATTATTGAAATGTTATCATTCTTTCATCTGTTAATACATTAGAGACCTCTTATTTTTATACCCAATTTGCTGCCAACATGAAAAATGTCAGGCATTAGTGGGTTGGCATTAAGGGAGTTCATAAAATTAATTAGGAGAACATAATCAAACTTAAAAAATGAAAGGCATGCAAGGAATTTTCATAAGAACAATCAAATGACAGTTGAAGAAATGCTACAAAGCTGATAGGATTGAAAGTGTTGGGAGGTTGTTCCTCCATCTACCAAGTTAATGCCTGTGAACGTCTGCCGCAGGAAACGCGACACAGTTGCTTTAATCTGAAGTACATTTACAGAATACTATGAAATAAATAAAACAGAATGCTACTAAATTAATTTGTATTAATAAAAATCAAGAGTGGCATGCAATAAAACAGTAACAACTGAATTATGTTTATTTTGGCAGCTAGGTATCTGACATTGCAGAAACCCATCACCATACTTATTGAAAAGTTTCATATTTTCTCACGTTCAATTCCATCCATGGTCTCCCTCCAGCCTAATCTGTGACCTCCTGGAACCACATTGTCCTGGTTGTTGCCTTCACTCAGCAAATATTGGCCTGCTTTTATGTCCCTCACTATCTACCCCATCGGCAGGCAGGTTTTCAGACAGGCATTTGCCTCTGCTCTCTGAAATTCTATCCCAGAGTCCCTCCAACTCCCACCTCCTTCAAGCCACGTATAAAAACATACTTCTTTGTCTCTGCTTTGTTTTCAAAACTGCATAGCTTGCTATTAAGAGCACTATCTGGCAAGTTTCTCACTTGTCCAGTTCGGATTATCCTACGTGTTATGTTTAATAATGTTATTTAAGATCAGGTTGTCTTCTAAATTTATAATTTCATTACAAAGTTACCAGCAGACGTGCACCAAGATTATAGTGCCCAGATACTGGATGAGGAATCAGAGGCCCTGAGGACGTTTGACTTATTTGATAAGACAGCTGATGGGCCTCTTGCAGGATTTGAGGTAATGATATAAGGGAAAACAGCCAAAGAATACACCATTGAACTGCAAAATTGTGAGTCCATCATCCAGTTGGAAAATGCTGTGCACCAATTGCAATCTCCCTTGAAAGCAAAGGAGACATTTCAACTGGCATCTAACAAATACGTCCCAAGAGCTTTAAATGTCCTATGAAGACCTTTTTCATGGTCATCCAGCCTGATTTGGCAATCTCACTCTGGAGAATGAGATATATCTCTGTGTATGGGGCTGGCTGACCATTAGCTAGCTGTAGGAGCCTTGTTAATTTTACAGCATTAGCAGGCAGGCCATTTGGGGAAAGAGGTCATCATTGCTGAAATCCCTCCCTATAGTGTTGACAACTTGACAGGTTCAGCAAGAACACAAGTGATTTGAATGACCAAACGACAAGTATGATTTTGCGAGGCTCCCGTTGCAAACGAACACCTTTCACTTCCGTTTATGCCAAAAATAAACCCTACAGAATTTGGTTATGCATTCTAACAAAATGCATATTTTTTCCAAAATTCCATTACTTGGAAATTATTTTCTTTGTAGGCTTTTTTTGTACTCCATAAGGTATCCAAAATCATACTTAACCTTAGCCAAAGCTTGTAATGAAATTATTTCTACAATTTTATAGCAATTGATTTCCTCCCTCTATTAGTGGGCAAAAAGAATCCATAATTTCACAATTAAACTCTAATTATGAAATATAATAGATCACATTTAATGGGTGGTTGCAGGCATTAGGAAAATAGAGAAAGCAAACTTACAAGGACAGATTACATTTATTAATACAGTTGCTAAAGTATAGTATAATGAGATTTGGTTGTTGTTTTAAAAAGAAAGAATCCTCATCTACACCACATAAGTTTCAATTTCAATAACATTCATATCCTCAGCAAAATGAAATAGTCTGAAGACGCTTCTGAATATAAAAAATTCATCAAAACATCATAGCTTCCAATCCCACTTCCATGAATTGCTTGTAAATGGCCATAAACTTGGCTACAAATGCTTCCAAGTGATAAATGGCCTTGCTGCCCAACTGCAGCCGATGCTCATAATAGGCTGCCATTTGTGAAACTTCGCCTTTGAGTTGCCCATCACAGTTGTTTAACAACTCTGACAGAAGACCCTAGAAAGAAAATTGAAACAAATTAATGTGAAATTCCACAATTAAGTGCAGTTTCTGTGAGCAGTTCACGTAAGTTGTCAGATAAGGTAATGGCCAGATAAAAGTTGTTTATCAATTAAGCAGTGAAATAGTGAAAAACATAATTAATGTTTTAATGCAAAACGCTGCATCCAATTAAAGAACTCCATTATAACGACACCTCCTCATGAACCCCTATGGATTTGTGGCTGGATTCTGGGTGTGGATTGGTCAACCCCCCACACCAAAAATGGCCGACCTCTGGGTTACTGGTCATTGCAGACATAATTTGGAGGATAACTTTAAAATCACCTTTCAATAAGGTGCAGTGAATGAACAAAGGAGTTATACGTTATCCTTCAACATACCTTCATTATTATCTCAGGAGGGATACAGTGAGTCAGAAGCTCATACAACCGTGCACGCACCTCCAATAATCTAAAGATAATGAAGAAATATCAGAAAACTCGCACAGAAAATACCACTGATCCATCAATAAATCTTTTAGGCCTTCTAGATTTAATCTTGAAAGAAACCTTGTGTGTTTAATAGGTGATTTACATATTCAATAAAGATCTGATAAAATAGTTATTACAAGCCATTATTGACAGACGTACAAGCAATGGAGAACATATCTCCCTCTACTTTTGGTAGTAAATCAAGAAGATTGAACTGTCAGAAATATTACCTTTGTGGCGTTTGCTGGTTGACAATAGCATTAGCGGTCTCTCTGAGGTATACCTCCCAGTCTGTCTCAGGAATGTCTTGATCAACTGAAAATGGATACCTGAAGAACACAAATTTATTTAAGGTTCCAAAAAAAGATATTCTAGCCAGGGGGGATAGAAGGGGGAGTTGAGTGACCAGCAGCTGGGTGGAGAGGGGGTCGAGGCAGCAGTGGTGAACTTCATGCGGGTGATTGTGGTTGAGAGAGAGAAGGGAGAAATGGGAGCAAAGGAGTGTAAGGAGTGGGAGGACCTCTTTGCACTTGGTGTGTGATGTGAGGATAGAGGGGGCTTGAGAGGGTGCACGGAGGAGATGATGGACGGTAGAAAACAGCGTATTTGGATTGTTGTTTGCCTCCAGGATGACTTTGGAGTAAAAGTCAGTTTTGTCCTGTGAAAGGAAGGGGTGGTAGGTGCAGAGGTACTTACTGTTGAACCCTGCAGGCTTCACACATAAGTAATGCCTTTCTAAGATTTCGATTGGATTGCTCAGCTATTTTCCTAGCCAGTTCTTGAGGAAGTATTAGACATTCTTTCTTGCACACTCCACTTAAGACGTGACAGATCTGAAAGCAAAGCAGTTCAATTTACCATTTGTGCAAACTGGACTAAATTTAACATTGACAATTCAACCAGAGTGATCACACCTCTATTATCAGCTGGGAAAAAACTGAATAAGGATACATTTTCTAAACATGGAAGTTGATTCTGATGACTGTGCTAAAAAGCAAAAACTGGTTAATAATAATCATTGCATTTGGTATAGTGCCTTTCACTCCTATATGACATCCCAAAATGCTTCACAGTATTACTGGAGTGGAGTGACTGTGTAGTGGTAGATGAATGTGACAACCCAATTGCGCACTGCAATGTCTCACAAAACAAATAACCAATTTTATTTGGGGGATTGCTACCCAGGACACCGGGAGAAATTCCCTTCTCATTTCAAATAACATCAAATGAAAGGCAGGCAGGACCTCAGTTCCACATCTCATCCGAAGGATGGCACTTCCAAAACTGCAACACATCCCAAGTACTGCAATGTAGTGTCAGCTTAGACTGTGTGAGTTCAAGTCTCAATGTGAGTTTGAACCTACAAGCGTCTGACTCAAAATGCTACCCACTGAGCCAGACTAATACCCAATTGAACCGACTTCAAAACTAAAAAAATGTTAGAAAGACTTTGTAATAAGAAATTAAATTAATTACCATATAATCAACCACAGAATAACCTAATTGGACAAAATAAGCTGTAACTAAATGACTAATGACAAGAGAAAGAAACCCAGGAAGATAAGACAAAACAAATTAGACCTTTTGTGCTACGAGACTGGGGGTGGTGGTGAGGGATGACACGTGTGCTTTTAAGGCTCCTGACTGGTAGCAAATTCAGAAAAAAGAATAGCATCCCACTTGACAGTTTAGCATCAGAATAGCATCCCACTTGATGGTGAGTTTATTATTTTAAAGCAGAAAATTCATGAACGGAGAGGAATGAGTTTTGACTTGATCACTTCTTTTTACTCTTTGCTAAATATTGGTGAAAAGCAAGTGAAACATCACAGTGCTATAGAACCAAACATTCCCATGAAATTCTTTAAGGACTCCCAGGTCACTAGTCATATGGATTTCTTTAAATTAGACCATAATCATTTACACCCTATTCAAGCCAAGTAAAATTATTTGCAGTTTAATTCAGTGTTCTATTTTCCCACTTAGACATACTTCTAAATAATAATAATCCTTGCATTTGATATAGTGCCTTATCACGTCGTTGAGACATCTCAAAGCGCTTCACAGGATACACTGTAAAATGTAGTGATTGTGTTTTGTGAATGAAACTGTTGCAATTCAGGTACAGTTGCTTAAGTATGCCATTCCACAACGATGTTCACCCTCAAAATGCAGTCACACATTAACATTGCAATACTCAGTTCTGCATTCTTGAAAACCTTTGCACTCTGACAATCATATCAACACTTACTGCAAATTTCAATGTTTTTTTTAAATTGGCTTTAGCAAAATAAACACTAACTATTGCAGGGCTCAGAAATTCATGTAGATAATTGAACCTACTTCCTCAATACTGGGTGCAGGCACTCGCACTGCAAGACATCGACTGCGAATAGGAGAAATTACTTTTGATGTGGAATTACAGCAAAGAATTAATCTACACGTGGACATGTACTTTTCCATAGTTCTCCTCAGGGCATGTTGGGCATCCTTTGTTAGTCTGTCGACCTCAGTCAGCACCACAACTGTCAGAAATAAAGATTAAAAGAATTTTTGTGGATTCCTGCAAATACTTTACAAACACAGCACACACGCAATTTCATTCTGTGGATGTAATAATTACAACAACAACTTGCATTTATATAGCTCCCTTCATGTAGGAGCTCAGACAGCAAATGCGTAATTATAAGTCACTATTTCATTCTCTTCAAGGTATAACAAAGCCAACTTTAAAAGAGCTAGCTCCTTCTGTGGTTTAATAATAATAATCCTTGCATTTGATATATCGCCTTATTATGTGGCACTCGATCGAACACAGCAGTGTCCCACTAACACTCGTAGATTGAGTGACCCATGCGATCTGCCTATTGACTAACAACCGGATTCGTACTTACTGCTGGATAAACAGAGGCATGTGGAGTAAGGAAACTTGCCTAAGGCTTTGTCCTTAATTATTTAAAGCTACTTAAAGTGAAATAACTTTGAAGCTAACCTCTCTTGCCACAACACATAAACTGCATGATAACCAGGCAGTTGTTTCTTACTTTTCCACATTATTTACAACATACATTCATTGCGATCAATTCCCAGAGGTTAGGTCAACCATAAAAAATATTTTAATCTAGATGAATTAAGAGTCCGCTTCCCAGTATATTAAAATACAATAATTTCTACATGACAAGGTTTAAAAAAAATCAAACAGCATAAATCATATTTTATATCTCTCCAGCACATCTTACCTTTGAAGTCTCGTTGTGTACTTGTTTCAAGCTGTTGAGACTGAGCTACTGTCTTAATCAGTTCTTGAATAACCACTCGGTCATTGTTTCCAGCATCACTGCAACAGAAAACACAGTTCTAAAATTGGGATTTTCTTTTTTAGGTTGGAGGTTACAGAAAGCTGGGAGGAAAATTAGAACAAATGAGCTATTGGACTGAAATATATACATACAATTCCTTCTTAATGCCATTTACGTATTAAATTGTTTAAAACTTTAAAAATCATTTAAACAGACTAATAATAGTAATGCGATAGTTAAATACATTACAATACAATATATATTTATATTGTCACATTCACATCGTGTGGACACCTCAAAATTTGACAGACGAGATAGGATTCAATCCTTCTTTATCATCAGTGCTGTGCAGACATAGATGACAATGACATTGTTGTGCAGCGACTTAAGCTTTCAAACTTGCAATACTTGAGATTATTGTTGCACTCTATGCAAATAACGGACCAGAATTCTCGGCAAATTGTATTCGGCTTAGTGGTTAGCAGCAATTATGCAATTGGCCATACAAAATCATGCAGGTGACCACGTCTGGCCACGTTTGAGAAACACTGGTAACACTGGTTTTATTTGTTTGGTAATATTCACGTAAGCTACAGCCTAGAGATAATTATAACAATGCTATACCCTGGAAAAAGAAACATGGCTTCTGAGAGCTACTAAACTTTGTAAAATTGTACAACTATACCAATAGACATATCACAGACTTCTTATAGCTTAATGTTTGTTCCAACAACCCTGATTTACCAGAAATGGTTAAATGTGTAATTATACCTTGCATATGAATGTGCTATACCAAGTCAAATACTTGGAAATGTTTGATTCACTTCACCAATTTTCTAGAATCACAAGTATAAAATGCATTGTACTTCTGTATATTTAGCCTCATAAATCCAAATGTAGTACATTTAGAAGATAAAGATCTCTATTTTCTCTAAGAAATGTCAAGATATAAGTGAAAGGAGCTGTGGCAGACTAAATTCCCAGTTTTCATGATTTGAGATGCAAGTGCAGAAAGACATCCCAAAGTACAAATTAGGTAGTTTTACCTATTAAGGAAAGAGTACAGGGACTGAAAATGCATTACTGATGTAATACTAATCAATCTCTGCCAAAGAGCCTTAGCCTGACGAACTCATAGATTTAAGATCAACAATAAATAAAATCTTTTGTTCTAAGCCAACTTACCTTGCATTAACTTCAAGATGATAGTTGCTCGCTATTGTGCTTATTTCTAATTTCTTTTTGGATGGAGTCTGCAAAAATGTACAACTAAATTCAATAAAGATTTAAAACACTTAAAAGGATTAATGTCAATTTGATTTTCTAAATTTCCAAATACAAGCATGTATCTAATCATCTTACAAAGTTGCATTCATTTCACTGATCAGTATTTAACCTTTTAAATTCACAACTAAAATTATCCAAAGGTATCCCAAATCCTCTGTGCTTTGCATATGAATTACAAAGAAATATTAAAAATGCATTCTTAAACTCGGTTCCAAAAATGTTTACAAAATTAATCATTTATCTAATTATTTATCATCATACATAAATAAAATGTTTGGTTTTGAAGTAAAACATTTAACCATGTGTATTATTCATTATGACAATAGATGATTGAAAGTTACACAACTCAATTACTTCTAAATAAAATGGTCATTCACCACCAAGTCCATTCTTTTTATAAGCCAAGTACAATTTGCCCAATTAGAAACTCTATCCAACTTAATCTTCATAGGGCTGGTTTCTTTCTACATGTTATATTTTTATCTCACTTTATAATCCAAATTATTAATTCCTGGCTGTTTTTTCAAAAAAATCTGAAGCAGTTAGAAAAAATGAGAGTTGGTTCCTGCAGTGTGAAGGTGCTTGCAAGAACCGAAGTTAGCTTCAGGCTTGTTGTCAAGAAGCCAAGATTCATCAGAGCTTGATGCTGGACATACGAGTCCTGGAATAGAGGGTAAAGGTGGGGAGGTAGAAATGGACATATTCTACCTGCATGTGGAACCTATAAAATGCCATCAAAAGCACTATTAAGCATTGAGATGCTTAGGATACTGACCAGAACTCTGGAGTACACCAGTGGTGACCATGAGAGCAAAGGAAGAAAAGCCAGTGATGGAAGAGCATCACATGTACTGGGATAAATAGAAGTGTGGTCATGAAAGTGTGGCAGCACAGAGATGGACCAAAGACAATGCAAGACAATAGATGTCAACAGTGTCAAAGATTGCAGAGAGGAGGGACAGCAAGGCCACCCAGGATTGGGATTGTGATTTTACTCTCCCTAAAGTGAAAATTGAAAATATGCCCACGTGTATGTAAAACATACATATTTTAAAATGCTACTCCTATTTCCACCCCTAATGAAGACAAAAATCTTATTTAGAATCTACTTTACTTTCATAATAAAGATCATAATGTAATTGTTATACATTAATTATATATTAAACTATCAAAACCCCTCATACTTTTAAAGATCTCTATTAGATGACCCCTCAATTAATACACAGTGAGGTCACTTTACAGTATATTCTGTGAAACACTTTGAGACGTCTTAAAGACATATTGGAGTTATATCATTCAAATATTATTATGTTATTAATGTGCTCTTATCAGTTCCTTACTGTAATGCTCTGATGTTCAATCCTTAGCTTCTCTATTCCTGCACCATAAAGCTCCCGAAGTAAGCACATTATCCTGGTCTTCTTTCCTGACCCTGATGGTCCATAAACCAGTAAATGAGGGAAATCACCACATTGTACCTAGAAGAAAAAAAGCAAGATTATAAAAATGGTACTTTCTAGCTACCTGTACCATAATACAAATAAGTACAATTTTGCTAGTACATAAGCAAATGGGAGGTTAGGAGAATTCTTTTCATGCAGAGTAGATATGATACGGAATGCTCTGCCAGGAGTGGTAGTTGAGGCAGAATACATATTGGCCGTCAAGAAAGAACTAGACAAATATCTGAAAAAGAGTTACCTACAACAGGATGGGGAAGGGCACTTAAATGGGACATAAATAATTGCTCGAGGGAATCAGCACAGACATGAGGAGCCAAATGGTCTTCTTCTGTGCTGTAAATTTCTATGGTTCTTTGTGAGAAGCGTTGTGTGCAAATTGGCTGCCATGTTATTTATTGATTATTATTTATTGACATCAGCCTGACTCAGTTAGTAGCACTCTCATCTCGGAGTCAGGAGTCTGTGGCTCACAACCTAGTGCAGTGATACTTCAGTGCAGTGCTGGGAACGTGCAGCATTGTTGGGAGGTGCCGTCCTTTGAATGATGTTAAATCGAGACGGCGTCTGCCTGTTGCGGTGGACGTTAAAAGATCCTGCGGCGCTATTCGAAAAGAGAAGCAGTTTCTCTTGGTGTCACGGATAGCAGATCCCCTGAAGTTTGTCATTCATTCACTTCACAGCTGTTTTGCGGGATATTGCTGTGCACAAATTTTTTACTGCGTAAACCCTCAAAACAGTCGCCACACTTCATGGTATACCCTGTGGAGCGCTTTGAAACAGGTTCCAAGAAAGAAAATGTAAGGATTGTTATTATAGTATAACAACAGTAGTTATAGTTATAATAATACAGTGCTATAGTACAGCACCTTTTCCTGCTTTATTAACGAACAATAATAATCCTTACATTTTATATAGCGCCTGATCACGTCATCGAGACGTCTGAACGCGCTTCACGGGATATATTGTGAAGCGAAATGACTGTGTGTCTCGTGGGCTGTTATTACAGCGTTTCACCCACAAAATATACAGTCACTACGCTTTACGGCGTATTCCGTGAGGCGCTTTTGAGGCGTCCCGAAAACATGACACGGCTATATATCAAATGCAAGGAGGATGATGCTGATTATAGTATATTATAACATCGGATACTTATATCTTTGTGTTTCAGATGCTGATGGGCTTTGAGTCGTGGTGGGAGGGAGGGAGGGAGGGAAGGGGTGAGGAGGAGGAGGAGGAGAGGGGGTGAGGGGGGGGGGGAGAGAGCTGCTGAGTTACAGCCACTCAACGGAAAGTGAAGCGAATGCTTCGGCTTTTAACGTTTTTTGAGGTGTTTGACGGGAAAATCCTAAATGAGACACACAAGAGGCGGGCGGCGGGCGGGCGGCGGGCCTTCAGCCGCTGTCAGGGCAGTGGTTTACCCGCTCACATCAAAGCACGAGCGGCCGCGGGGGCCGCGGCTCACACTGGCTCACCAGGTTGCGCAGTTGGCCGGCCTGGTCCTTGTGGTAGTCGAGTTTGCCCAGAGCCGTCGGCCGGTACTTGTCCACCCAGAGACTCATTATCCGCCTCCTTCAGCTTCAGCCGTCACCACCACCACCAACCGCCCGCCCGCCCGAGCTCGCGCCGCCCGCCCGAGCTCGCGCCGCCCCAACCGCCCACCGCCCGGCTCCCGCGCGCCACTTTCGCCGCGACGTCAGCGCGCCGTTTCCGTGGACGTGAACGCACGCGGCGCCACCATCGTCGTACGTCGATCAGGCCGCCCCCTCCCCGCGCTTGGGCGGGTTTCACGCCCAATTGGGCGGGTTTTTGCTGCATTGTGTGTGGGGTTTGGGCGGGTGCCTGGTTTGTAGTGACTAAATTATTATTACTATTATTTTTTGGCCCACAAAATATACAGTCAATTCACTTTTCAGTACAGTCTGTGAAGCGCTTTGAGACGTCTGGAAGACGTGATACGGCGGTGTATCAAATGCGAGGATTATTATTATTATTATTGTTATTATTGTATTATTGTATTTCAGTCGCTGGTCAGCGACTGCTCATACGAAACACAGTGATAACAGGACTTTGTGAACGCCCTGTACACGTGAAGGAGACGGGAATGGAAGGGTACTGGTGGACACTCCTAGATTCACGGAAAGTAAAGCTCGGAAACGGGCCACTTGGCCCAATCAGGACAGATGGTGCTTACAGTTATACTCCACACCAGCACCATCCCAGACCCCATCACTGATTCCGTTTCCCAGCCTTTATTCCGAATGTCCGTCAAACTTTAGTTTTTATTTAGTGTACGCGTGCGTGGTGGCTGCCCCCAGCAGCTGACTGCGCAGAGAATTCTATTCTCCGACCCGCTCTGTGTGAAAAAGTTCCTCCTTATCTCTGTTCCGGACTTCCCAAATCTGAAGTTAAATCTGCCCCACAGACACAGACCGGTTGGGACCAATGTCTGCTTCCACGTTGTACAGTCAACAACGACGACAACAACAACTTGGATTTATATAGCGCCCTCCACGCCGGACGTGTTACTGTAAAGTGCAGTGACTATGTGTTTTCTGGGCGAATGCAGCTGCCAATGTGTTGCGTGCAGTTGGCTGATATTAAGTGCAAATATCGATTCAGGGTCAGTGTTTGTCTTAAAATGTAATTTCTTGAACTGGACTCTGACAAATAGGAAGGACAGGCAACCTGTCCCACACCTCAGGTGAGGTGAGTCAGTGGATTTCCCTTATGCTGAGGGAAGGACTTCACATGTTCGCCTTCTCTAGGCAGTCCAGCTGAAATCAGTGGGTTCATCGTGCATAGAATCATAGAATCGTACAGCACAAAAAGAGGCCCATCGAGTTTGAATAGAGCAATTAATGTCAATCCCACGCCCCAGCCTTTTTCCCATAACCCTGCAAACCCATCCTCTTCAAATACCCGTCCTCCGCGTTTTTAAAAGTAGTTATCGTTCTTTCACACTGCACCATAATTCATTTGTGCAGCCACATGTTATTGACATTCTCTTCATAGTAACTCTTAAATTGTATAACCGACTAAAAATCTTGGTTGTAAACATAAAAACATGAGGCAGTGGTTACATCAGATTCTAGATACGAGGTATACGAAATCGCAGGGCTCTGACTGTCCAGTGCCCTGGAAAGTCTTTCCGACGTAAAGTGCAATTTGTTATTGTTGTTGTATTCCACTACGTCAAATGATACAACACTATATAGTAGGTTACGCATGTAATCCTAGTCTGGTATTCCGCTACACTTCCACCTCTATCAAAAAAATGGGACTTGCATCTTGAAGTATAATTCCTCCTTAGTCCTCTTAGAACAGAAAAATAGATTGACGTGTGTCTGTTCTATGCTGTCCAGTCACCTGCTCAGTATTAAGTCAGTAAGTTAAATTCATAATAATAGAATAAATCAAATAAAAGCATGAGGCAGTGGTTACAACAGAATTATCTGTCCAGTAACTTCATTGTACTGAATAAACAGTCTTTCTCACCATTCACTGAAGTGCATAGAACACCATGTCTGTGGTGCTTACTGTGCTCTATTTTACCACACCTGTTATATATGAAAATAAATAAATGAGGGATTTTGCAAGAAAACTTCTCATAAGAGAATTTGTTTATTACAACCAGACTTAGTGAAAAGGAATACAAAATTCCAAACTCAGTTCTCAAGTTGAAAAACCTGCATTAATCTATCACAATCCCTATGCCAATGTATACCAATGGGTTTCAGACATAATAATCCTTTCTGACGTAGGGTCATTGACCTGAAACATTAACTCACTTTCCTCTCTCCATAGACGCTGCCTGACATGCTGAGTGTTCCTGGCGACTTCTGTTTTTATTTTATTATTAATAATAATCCTTGCATTTGATTTTTGCTTTTAATATAGCATCTTATCATGTTGGTGACTCATCTAAAAGCTCTTCACAAGATTTTATATTGAAGAGCAGTTACTGTATATTTTGTAGGCAATTGTGGGAAATTCTTGCTGCAATACACTCTGAACATTAAGACATTCGGCTCAGTACACTGTTTCATTACTCTGGTGGAATTGTATTTGAATAAAGAGAGGAAAAGGGAGTTTATATCAGCGGAATTATTCAAATTTAAAAAAAATTGCAACTCAATACTAAAACTTTGCAAGGATAATTAAATCTAAATTAGAACTGGGAAATAAAATATCACTCATCATGACCACAAGTTAATTTTGATACCGTCCAGTAATGTAGCATTATTATTGAATTGGGTTGTAAAATCAATAGCATTGCTCAACAGGATTAACATTTATTGATAAAAGGTCATTTTGCTCAATCATAGTCATAATTGTAACTAATATTCATACGATTACATGCGTTACATACTTGAGGGAGGTTAATCCAAGAAGCCCAGAGTACTAAAGTATTATAATCAATGTCAAGTTTTAACACTGTTTAGATTTAGATTTGTTGCTCTTTTGACAATTGAAATTTTGGATTTCATATAATTCTCACTTAAAATTGTTTTTGAAAAAAAATGCATTTTGTATTGAAATCAGGAATAGATTTATTGCAAAACACTGTACTAGCAGTGTCAATGTCCTGTATTTCACTGAGTCTTCAATAAGTTCAAACGCGATGATCAATATGAAAATCACCATGTAAATAGTTAATTATTGAAATCTGCCATTTCATAAACCACAAATCATTGCAGTAAACGTGACTGTAACTGTAACTGTGACTGTAAATGTGGTTTGGCACTGAAATTACAGGATTCACAAATATATTTGCTTAAATATTGAATATTTGCTCTGAAATGCTGTAATCTGTCCAGCGTCTTGGGACGTCCTCCCGACGTGAAAGGCGCTATACAAATGTAATCTTATTGTTGTTGTTGTAAATAATAATAATCCTTGCATTTGAGACGTCTCAAAGCTCTTCACAAGATATCCTATAAAGTGGACTGACTGTATACTTTCGGAGATGAAAGGTAGCAGCCGGTTGTTTATAAAATAAGTTATATTCAAATTATTATAAAATAGTGTGATTAGAAAATAATCATAATCCCGCAAGGCCATTTTGAGTGCAACATTTTATTTTCTGATCTTTCATTGGACTTTTCTCAGCTGAGAAATGGCACTGAAGCAAAATGCTGCTATGATCACAAATAATAAGGCTGACTTCTGTTACTTAAAACAATGTATAGCTATCTTGTTGTGAGATCATTTTCCTGCAATTTATCTGTTGAAATTTGTGCTTTGGAGAGAGGTTTAATTGGTTAAACACACGTGGGAGGCATTAACTCAATTAATCGATGGCGATGCAGTTCATGGTACAAAGAAAATTTGCAAAATATGACAGAACTTACCTGATCAACATCTAAATCTATAATAACAGTTTTATTTGGAACAGTATTATCTACTAAGTAGTTTGCAGTTACTGCAAGAATGGATTAAGATTTTGCTGCAGAGCAGCGTTAAAAGGTTCTGTATTTTCAAAAATACATAATTTGGCTTAGTGGGATGTAGTGTTCACACTTGAGAGCCTTGACATATTAACTCAGGCTTCTTTAAAGGGAGATACCAGCAAAATGTAAGCTTTTCTGGGGGTAATAATCAAAACAATTTTAATTTGGTCTCTTAATCCACAAGTGTGACCGCAGACATGGTCAAGAGGTGTAGTGGCTGAAAGTTCGGCTGCTGATGGTGGAACATGCAATAGCTCTGAGTTTGCCGAGAGGAGAGGTTACCTGGAGAGGTCACGGAGGCGGGAACGGGTGAGGGATTTTAGGATTGGGATTGTCACATACTCACATAATGCTAAATTGGGATGGTCATGAAGTTTCTCCGTAGGCTGTAAATCATCCAGAACTCTGCCGCCTATGTCCTTTCCCGCACCAGCTCCGCAACCCTATCACCCCATCCTCGACTGATTCCACTGGCTTCCCATCATTCAGAGGATACAATAAACAGCCACAACAAATGACGGTTATAGAGCACCTTTCACGTTGGGAGGACGTCCCAAACAGTTCAAGATCCTGTTCTTTACCTTTGAAACTGACCATGGCCTTGCTCCCTCCTACCTCTGTGACCTCCTAATCCCCTACCAACCTGCCCGCTCCCTCCGCTCAACAGGCCTGCTTCACGTCCCCGCATCGTCTGCCCTACCATAAGTGAGCCCCCCTTACCTTCTGCCACTCTGCCCCCACCCTCTGGAACTCTATTTATTTTGGGAACCTGCTCCTTACTCCATAATTAATTCAGCTTGCAAACTGTGTAAATAATATTGAAGAAGAACTCGCATTTGATACAGTGGAATTCATGTGAGGAGGACATCTTAAAGAGCTTCACAAGATTTACTGCAAAGTGTGGTGACTAATTTGTAGGCCAACATAGCAGTGTGTGCTTTTCCTATTATAAATGAAATGCAAAACCATACCCTACTTTGACTAAACTAAATTAGTTTGAAAAGCAATATTTTACGACGACTCCTACAGGATGCTTTCCCCCTTCTTGTATTTAAAAAAATATAGAATATACATGGGAACTGCATGTTCCTCTGTCACAATGCACAAAGTTATATTATTAAAATATTCAGCATCCAATATCAGACACCATTGTTTAGAATGGTGGGAAAAGAACCGTGTGCACATTTAAAGAATAGTGAATTGTCAGGGGAAGAATGTGCGGAGTTGATATGG